CAATGGGAGAGTGGCCTCTGAGCAATGTAGTTTTAAGCAAAAATCAGGGACTTTTGTTAATTTGTGCTATCTGTCCCTGGATTTGTGTAAAGCAGAAGGCTGTCCCTCAATTTGAGTTTACCTAATGTTTTTGCGTGATTACATTCAGGTTGTATATTTTTGGCAGGAGTAATATGGAGGTGACATTGGGTGTTCAGTAATCAAAAACAAAAATTAACAAGTGGGACTATATAAAACTAAAAAGCTTCTGCACAGCAAAGGAAGCAATCAACAGTGAAAAGGCAACACACAGAATTGGAGAAAACATTTTCAAATCATATTTGACAAAGGTTTCACCTCCAAAACATATAAGAAACCCCTACAACTCAATAATAAAAAATCAAATAACCCAATTTTTAAAAATGAGCTAAAGGCTTGAGTAGACATTTCCAAAGATACATGAGTGGCTAAAAGGTATATGAAAAATGCCCAATGTCACTAATCATCAGGGAAATGCAAATCACCTCACACTTGTCAGGATGGCTGTTCTAAAAATAAAGACAAGTGTTGGTGAGGATACAGAGAAACTGGAACCCTTGCACACTGTTGGTGGGATTCAAATTGGTGCAACTACTATGGAAAACAATATGGAGATTTCTCAGAAAAATTAAAAATAGAACTATTATATGATCTAGCAATCCCACTGCTGGGTATATATCCAAAATAATTCAAAGTTGAGTCTCAAGGAGATATTTAAACACCATGTTCCTAGCAGCACTATTTTCACAACCCAAATATCCATTGATAGATCAGTTGGTAAACAAAATGTGACATATACATAAAATGGAATATTATTCAGCCTTTAAAAAGAAGAAAATCCTGTAATATGCTATAACATGAATGAGCCTTGAGGACATTATGCTCAGTGAAACAAGCAAGTCACAAAAAGTGAATACAATATGATTCATAAAAATCATAAAAATACAAAGTAAAAGGGTGGTTACTGGGGGCTGGGGAAAGGGAGAAGTGGAAAGTTATTAATATGGGCATAAAGTTTAAGTTAAACAAGATAGATAAGTTCCAGAAATCTGTGCAACATTGTACATATAGTTAAGAGGGTAGATCTCATGTTAAGTGTTATTATAATCTCTATATATAAAAGGCTAATATGCAAAGTGTCCTCTTGGGAGATCAACCGGGAGACCAGGAGTTCGATCGCTTGCTATGATGTGCGCTGACCACCAGGGTGTGGCACAGAACATGGTGAGCGACCAGTGGTGGTGGCGTGGTGCTGAGGGAGCAAGGGAAGGAGGAGGTGGGGAGGCAGGCAACCTGATGAGCCCTGATCTCTGGCCAGGCCTAGGGACCCTACCTGTGCATGAATTTCATGCACCAGGCTTCTAGTAATAAAATAAAATAAAATGTTAAAGTAGTAACATTTAACTTTATAATTATATTTGCTGAGTAATTTAATGTAATTTATATACACATATAAATTAAAATGTATGAAATTACATATAAAAATAATTACATAGCCCTAGCTGGTTTGGCTCAGGCCTGTGGAGTGAAGGGTCCCGGGTTCGGTTCCTGTCAAGGGCACATGCCTGTGTTTTGGACTTGGCCCCCAGTAGGGGGGCGTGCAGGAGGCAGCCAATCAATGATTCTCTCATCATTGATTTTTCCCCCCTCTCTCTTCCTCTCTGAAATAAAATATATTTTTTTTAAAAAACAGAACTCTGTATCTCTTCTGATAAAAATTACATATAAAAGCAATTTATA